CCCCCCCATATAGTAAGTCCCCCCCCATATAGTAAGTCCCCCCCCATATAGTAATTCATCCCCCATATAGTAATTCATCCCCCATATAGTAAGTCCCCCATATAGTAATTCATCCCCCATATAGTAAGTCCCCCCTGTGTCAATTCACTTACCTTTGCTCCGCGCGTTCCTCTCGCCGTGCTTCCCGCGCCGTTCTGGTCTTCAGGGCGGACTGTGAGAGGAGAGGAGTTTGTCACTCTGCCCCGCCTACATCCTGGCTGCCCCGCCTACATCCTGACAGCTGCAGAGTCCTGACTTTTGGGGCGGCCGCCCGAGAGGAGGGAGGGGAGCGGACGGCCGTCCGAGAGGAGGGAGGGGAGGTGAGGGGGGCGGCCGCCCTGCACACGCCCGTCCGAGAGGAGGGAGAGGAGGGAGGGGAGCGGGCGCCCGGCACACAGAAGAGCCGCATTTAAGCTTGTAAAGAGCCGCATGTGGCTCGCGAGCCGCGGCTTGCCGACCACTGCAATAGGGGAAAAAGGAATTTAAATTAAGCCTAAAACTGTCCACAGATCGAAATTCAGCCACTACAGCAGAGACTGGCCGAATTTCAATTCATGTGTGGCAGCTCCTGCTTGACAGAAGTTGATCTAACTATCGTCTTCTGTTGAACCACATCGTTGGAAAATGTTTCTCAGTCGGTGGCTGCAGCTGCTGCTCAGTGTATTCTGACAGCAGAGAGTCCTCACTGACAGAATACAATGACTCTGTGAGGAGGACTCCTCTATCCACCTTGATTGTGTGAGGATAAAGGAATCTTTTGGGTTTTTTTTTTTTTTTTTTTTTTCCATTCAGCCTTGTATCATGGAGTGCTCAACAATGGCTGTGAATTCTGGGAGCTATGATGTCACCCATAGGCTCCCATGGCCAAGCTGTTGGCGCTTCCTCCTTCCCCCTGCAGCCACCACTCATTGACATGGGGGAACCAGAGCTGCAGGATCATGTGACTGGACTAAAAAATGGAAGTATACAGATCTCCTTTTTGTTGTATTTTTTACACAGGGTAGGTAAGAGAAGAAGGGAATATTTTTTAAGAATAGTGTTCGGCTTGAATTCCACGTTAAATCAAACCCCCCCCCCCCCCCCCCCAGCCCTTGAATTCAGTGGGGTTGAGCTTTAACTGCTTCCATACCGGGCACTTTTTCCCCTTCCTGCCCAGGCCAATTTTCAGGTTTCAGCGCTCTCATACTTTGAATGACAATTGCGCGGTCATACAACATTGTACCCAAACTAAAATTTTATCATTTTCTTCACACAACTAGAGCTTTCATTTGGTGGTATTTAATCACCCCTGGGGTTTTTATTCTTTGCTAAATTAACAAAAAAAGATTGAAAAATGTTGAAAAAAAACCCACATTTTTTTTTGTTTCTGTTATAAAAGTTTGCAAATAAATAATTGTTCATAAATTTAGGCCAATATGTATTCTGCTACATGTCTTTGGTGAAAATAGCCAAAATTAGGATGTATTATTTAGTTTGTAGGAAAGTTATAGAGTTCACAAACTATCTAATTTCTTGAGGTCCAAGAATGTCAGAAGAGTACAGATATCCCCCTTTTGCAAAGTAGACAGTCCGACATATTTCATAAGAGGCATGGCGAGTTTTTTTGAAGTTGTAATTTTTTTGTTATAATTTTTCGGAAAATGAAAAAAAATTAAAAAAATTATTTTAACAAATTTTTTTTTTTTTTTTACATACTATCACCAGTGCAGTACAGCGTCATCATATAACTGGCATGGTGGTGATCAGGGACACTGACTGGTGACAGTATTGAAAAAAAATAATTTTTTAAATTTTTTTTATTAGTTTTAATTTTTTATTACATTTTTTTTCCTTTTTTTCATATTTCACTCTGACCAAAGTAGTACAATGTTAGTGTACTACTTTGGGGAAGTGATCACTATTTTTTTTTTTTTTTTTACACAATTTGCTTATAGCAAAGAATTACTTTGCTATAAGCAAGCATTTACCTGAATGACATCGATTCATTCACGTTTTTTTTTTTTTTTTTTTGCTTAGCGGTGATTTGACCATGGCTAATCACATGACACAGCTGGGCTGTGATTGGCCCAGCTTGTGCATGTGATTGCTGAGACCATTCACAGCTAGACGCACTAGTATACAATGGATGGCATGAAAGGAAGCCATCCATTGTATACAACTGTCATGTGACCTGCTGATTGGTCACAGCAGGTCACATGGTACCAACAATGGGGCCGGTACACAGATCTGTCATCGGCCCTGTCCGAGGCACATGGCCGGTGACAGATCGCGCCGCTGCGCGGCTCTGCGGGCATGCAAACTGCGCATGCCTGAAAGGATGCCATATGGCGTCCACCCGGAGGGACGAGGTGTTTTGCAGGCCGGCATCTGGCTATAGGCCGGGCGGGAACCTGTTAATGACCATATCCATTTTTTTTATGTGCCCTTATTAAATTGGTAGTAAACTCCTCTTCATAAAAAAAATAACAATTAATAAAAATAGCTGCTCCTTGTGCAGGCGTATGCTAAAATGTGCTAGGATGTATAATATAGTAGCATATCATGACAGACTTGCCTTCCAAATGGAGTCCTCCAGCGCTGAGATGTCACCACTCTTGTCACTTCCATTTCACTCGGTCTTCCTTCTGGTTCTATGCACTCCAGCCATTTGAATGGTCGGGCCATCATGGCCTTGCTCTCGCATATGAACACAGAAGTCACGATTGCAGCACAGCACTCTGCATTGAGGACACACTCAGTGTGCCCTTAATGCAGAGTGCACTGCGCATGTGCCGAATATGTGCAACTGAATATCTCCTCAACAGTGCAAGTTTCCACTCTACCTACAGGTGAGCTTTATTATGAACTTACATGTAGGCACATATGAAAAATGTTTACTACCATTTGAAGAAGCCTTCTCTCCCTTGACAGGTGTCCACTGTCCATTTGATAGGTGTCCGAACAGACATCTTTCAAATCCTCATGCAGCAGAAGTCAACTTGTAGATTGAGGATGGTTTAGAATCCATCTTGGTTTTGTTTCTCAAAGCCAAATCCATTGTTTCACTTCACTTTCTTTACAGGTGATGTGTGTCAGAACAGGAAGAGATGAGAATTCTCTGTGGGGACACAAACCCCAATATGACAGAAAATATCTTTGTGATGGATACACAGTATTCAAAACCTTGAAAGTTTTATAACTGTTCCACAAGATGTTTTGTCCAAAGTTGGGCGTTTAAGCACTCTCCTAAGTAGAGAATAGTAAGAGGACTGCGGGATCAACATCTGACTACTCCACAGAGTTCCCCAGTGCTCATTAAACTCAGTGCAAAATTTTGTACACAAACTGAGAATTGGACTTTTCAGTAACAAAGCCGCACATGAGCTGCATTTGATAGTTAACTCTTTGATTAAAAAAAAAAAAAAAATATTGCAGAGAGCCTCAATAAAATTCCACAACCAGCAAATCCCTTGCTGTTTGGAAAATGCCTCTCATACTTTTAGAATTCCATCTGTAGCTGTTTTATGTAAGGTATGACAGATAAGCAGCACATTGCTGAGTTACAGGCTTATTGTAGATTTGTGTTTTAAAAAAATCCATGTACATTTATATATACATCTTTATAAATGCATCATTTGAAAAGCTGAAGGTAGAAGAGATTTGTTGACTGCAGGAACCAGTACGACTTAATTTGGCTTTAGGATTGGGAAATGAAAGCAAACATTTTGCTTGTGCAGTGAACAACATCAGCAATGGCAATCCGTGTATACCAGGAGGTACACCCAGACTTTTATAAGAAGACCGAAAAAAAATTGCAAAGATAGTGTACCTCAAAGGACAGCAATCAGTAGTATCAATTCAGATTCTTGCACTTCCCTAGTGGTGTGTGTGCTCTTCAGAGATGCAGAGAGCAGTGCTGATGTGATCACCTTAGTACCACTCTTTGCCTGAGCGTTTTTTTTTTTTTTTTTTTGCTTTAATACTGCCGGGGAGCGTTTTTTTTTTTTTTTTTTTTTTTTTTAATGAACGTGCAGCTATGTACCTCTCACACCTGAAGGGGGGCAGGCACCCCTTATTGTTAAAGGGGAAATCCAGATTCTGATGAGCCCCCAGCCTACAGTCCCCACAGCCACCTAGGACAGAGGCCTTTGCTCTCATCCGCATGGGGCACAAGGTGTTTTGCCAGGGTGGGTGTCCCTAGCGAGGTAGTCCCCCTTTCATGCTGTGGGCACTTGGCCTGTTATTTCAGGGCAGAAGGCACGTTTGCCCCCACCTTCTTTCCTGCATGCATGGGCAGGGGTCTGGTAAGGATTGAGTGGGAACCTCCAATTTTCTTTTCTTTTTCTTTTGTTTTTTTTCTTCCTCTCTTTTCTTTTTTTCCTTTCTTTTCTTTTCTTTTCTTTCTTTTTTTTTTAAACACTGCCTCCGCCCTTTAAATTCACCTGTCAGCTGGGAAACCCTGACTGACAGCTGAATGTGCAAGCAGGAGTCAAGGGCTTCTTGACAACCACTGACCTTGAACAGGAGCTATCACATTCAGCAGCAGTAGCAATGCCACAGCTAAATGTTTCACTTCCTGCTGCAGCTGTCTGGACTGTGATAAAATATGGTGTGAAAAATGCATTAAATACAGAAAAAAAAAGATTACCACATGCATTAAGTAATGCGTTTTTTTGGGTTTTTTTTGTGAAATACCTGCTTATGAGATAAATACCATATTAGTGATTTTATTGCAAAAATTCAGACATTATCTCTTAGTGAACTGACCCCACAGTGTTTCAGCAAACTAAATGTTACCTGGTTGTGGCTTATATCTACTTTACAGAGAAATTAGACTGCTCACATTTTATCATAAACCTCATGATCTATACAGATTTGTATTTTGTGTTAGAAATAGAAATGTGGTTTAGGTCTACTGCTGGTCCAGTGTAAGAATTTGGTAGAGTCTGTTTCATGTTAACTAATGCGTCACTCGTTTCCAGGTATAAACTGAGTGGTATGGTGCTCCCGGCTTTGCGAGAATGGATGGAAAAGACATTCGGTGCTAGTTTGGATCACAAAACTACCTCCAGAGTAAGTACATATGGGACTAATGTCTTTTAAACCACAAATGCACAAATGTTTGCTAGCAAAGGTGTTTCTACTTTAATATGAAGTATTGCTCTTTGTTGAATTGTAATTATGCCTGATGGGTACAAATCATTCAGGCAAGACTGAGCTCTGTTATTCTGCCAGTCTTCTGTGTTGTCAATATTCAGTCTTGGTGTTAAATACATATACATTTTAGGACAACTCATATGTGTGTATCATTTGATACTGTGTAAGAATAGAAAGTATTCCTTAACATATTTTCCACCAGGTTGAAAAATCATTGTGACTGAGAGAGCTCCACCATTGTCAGCGAGGGCTCTGAAGAACCCTAGGGTTCCTACAGAAGTTGCTGAGGGTTCCATGAGCTGTGTCTGGTTGGCTATCAATTTGATTTTGCTTGTATAGTTCCAGGGCATATGCCACTTGGCAAAGCCAGCTCCAAGACACTTTTTTTAGCTGTCTGCAAGGGTGGCATTCAGACTAACACTGTAATGGTTTCATTTCCACCAACCACCAATGTAAGATGAATTTTTTCCCATTGACCCCCTATTTAATTAGTTTTTTGTTAGTTCCCCGAGACCTAAATTATTTAGGGGTTCCTCTGTGGTAAAAAGGTCGAAAGAGTGTGGTCTCTCTGTCCATTCTCAGAGACTTACTCCTCCTATGTCCATGTTTAAAAAGAAGTTCTAGGTCTATCTAAATTCTACAAGAAGCATCCTATATACAATATATATGGGGGATTCAGTCACATTATACTTAAATCTACTCCCACTCCCATTCTAAGCCTATTCTATCTAACCTGTAACATAAAGATCTGCATACTTACCTATGATGAGGGCACTCCCGTCTGGTCAAATGATCGCAGCCCAGTGCCGGCTGCAGTTAGGAGGAGAGATCTCTGATAATGGCTGGGGTGGTCAGAAAATCTCATGAATATGAGTTCTAGTAATTTATAGCCAGCAGAAGGACACCGTTCCAGCTGCAAGTTGCCCAATAAAGGCATATAGAATTTGGTATTTTATAGGAGAAGGGTTCTGTAACCCTCTGCAATGGCAATACATTTGTGCATAATATATTATTTTTTATTATTATACAGGTTTTATATACTGCCAACAGTTTGTGCAGTGCTTTACAAAATGAAGGCAGACATTACAGTTACAATATAATTTGGTACAAGAGGAATCAGAGAGCCCTGCTCCTTAGAGTTTACAATCTAAGAGGGAATATATCAGATTATGTAGCCATCAGTCTTTACTTTCTTTGAGCAAAGTATGCCAAGTTAATAATAACCAATTCTGCTGTATAATGCTCAAAATATTTTCTATTTAAGGACGTATTGATGTTTGAATGTGTTCTGCTTCACTAACTTTCTGATGCATTCATATATCTCAACTAGGCTTCGATAAACTAGCTTTTCCTAGTGTAGTATAAGTGTGAGTAATATTGGTCCTATAGAGGAATATTGATCTGTTCTGGGAAGCCTCCCATGTTGCTTAGCGATTTTCTTTCAGGTGTTCATTATGCAATACCTATAGCCATGGAGAGAGCAATGATAATGCGTTGCAGTCTGCAATAGATGTATAGAATTTGGCAAATCTTCATTTTTTTAATTCAGGTCCACTTTAATACTAAGCTTTACTTTTTTTCCATTTAGCTGTAAAGAGGCATCTAGCAGCAGTTTGTGGAAATATAATAAATGTAAGAAGCAAGCACTCTCTACCTTACCTACTCCTTTTTTTTGCAAAGCATTTCTTGACTACTTAAAGCCCGACTGACTTTTTAGTTTGAAGAATGCCAGCAAAAATTAAGACAAAAAATTGCACATTAAAAGGTATAAAGTAACAAGTAACAAAACCAGCATTTGCAATATTCATTAATTCAGAGAGTTCCATTTGAATACTTTTTCTTTCCTGCCATTAGATGCTCTAAACCTTTATAGCCAGTGACATTCAACCCACTTCTCTGAGCCCAGGTTGTCCTGGACTCACCTCAAGTCTCACAAAGGGCAGTGAAAGGAGAAGCAGCACAATGCTGAGATCACCTGTCACTCTGCTTTCCAGGTCCAAAGCTGTGGCACAGCCCCAGTGTTACCCTGTCTCTGAAAACTCTTTTATTGAGTAAGCTCCATGTAGCTAAAATGCTGGGGGACTACCTCTTCATTTATACTGCTAAGCACCTGTTTAAATTTCCCACCACTGCTGATATACTGTGGCAAGGGTTATGGCAGAGGGATTGGATAGTGAAATTATCTGTTCTTGTGTGCTCTGCATACTGTTTCTTGCTGGTAGGCTTTGAAGAAACACCATTCCACTGCTGCTCCTAAAGCATAGCATGAATCTCCGATCTCTGTTCTGTTTCCACTGAACACCTACAGTGACCTTGTTACTTCTAGCTGCCATCATTCCTCATCAGAACATATTGTCTAGGTTTATGGGCCTTGCTCACGTTGGGCCTAGTTGCATTACAGCTGTGCCTTCACCAAGATGCAGAGAGGACAGTCCATGATCAAGGGTGATCTCATCCCATACTCTCCTAGCGTTTTTTGGGGGAATTTTGCCTAGTATTCCCAGAAGAAACAGACACCTGTAATCAAGAACTTGGGACCCCTATTGTTATAGGGTCACCATCATCAGAGTCATCCTCAGCTGCATCTGGTCAGGCAGTCTCTCACCTTATGTTCACAGGGACCACTGTGTCCACTCAGAACATTATACCTGGCTGTACTTGGCCTCTGGGTATTCTGCTCACATAGGCTTTGAGTGATGTCTAGCACAATTTCCTACAGAGTCTCCCTCTGGCTCTCTCAGGCCATTTGATCAGTCCAGGTCTCTAGCTCCTGTTACCATCTCTGACTTCAGTGTTCCAGCAGTGTACCTCTTAAGGAACTGTTATTGAGGTACTGAGTCTCCTGCCATCACCTTACATTCACTGGCCACTTTATTAGGTACACCTGTTCAATTGCTTGGTAACACAAATTGCTAATCAGCCAATCACATGGTAGCAACTCAATGCATTTAGGTTTCTAGACGTGGTGAAGATGACTTGCTAAAGTTCAAACCAAGCTTCAAAATGGGGGAAAAAAGGGGATTTAAGTGACTTTGAACGTGGCATGGCTGTTGATGCAAGACAGGCTGGTCTGAGTATTTTCAAAAACTGCTGATCTACTGGGACTTTCATGCTCAACCATCTCTAGGGTTTACAGGGAATGGTCCGAAAAAGAGAAAATATCCAGTGAGAGGCAGTTTGGACGAAAATGCCTTGCTGATGTCAGAGGAGAATGGGCAGACTGGTTTGAGATGATGATACAAAGGCAACAGTAGGGTCAGAATTTGGTGTAAACAACATTAAAGCATGGATCCTTCCTGCCTTGTGTCAATGGCTCAGGCTGGAGGTGTAATGACGTGGGGATATTTTCTTGGCACTAGCAATGTGTACCTAATAATGTGGCCAGTGAGTGTAGATTTACGGTGCTTCATGTCAGACCTTATAGATGCAGCAAATTCTACCCTGCATCTAGACGATAAATCTGTTGTTACCTGCTTGTGTCTTTTAGGGTTCCTACAGCTGCAAAGATATTACAACTAAACCCGCTGTTTGATATATTCCTCTATATGGAGGTACCCTGAGGAGTTCTGGCCTTCTTCTGAGAGTTTGCCTGAACTTTTCCCATTTAACAGAGAATTTGTGAACAGATGTTCTCACCATAGATATACTCATCTTAATAGGAAGATCACTTAATTGGCTGAAAAAAGTGCTTTATCTTCTGGGCTCTCACTGACAGGCAGATGGAATCCCACCTTAAATCCCAGTTTGAATTGCCTGGTTTGTCCTCCATCCCATTTAGGGTTTGACTTTAATCTTTCATCATGGGTGAACTCCCTCAGAAGGGACCTCTTTGCCATTGGCGTAGGTCCCCGTTTCCTTTAATGGAGAAAATCTCTCAAGCCCTATGCTTCAATTGTCATGGCTTATAACAAGCAACTAAGCTTGTCTCTCACATGGGTCTGTTGTTCTTCTAGATGAGCAGAGTCCCCTGGCTGCGTGCTTGGAACACTGACTCTAATTCCAAAACATTTTTGACTTCCTTAGCCTTTTGATATGGTCTATTCCAGCCTTTTTTAACCAGCGTGCCTTCAGGTTTCTTCGGGGGTGCCATGGTAAAAGGCCTAAAAACTGCCCAGAAAATTGTATACACACCAGCAGGTGGATCAAGCCTTTTAGTTACACAAAGCAGGTTTTCATTGTGCACCATTACAGCTATCTAGCCGCCAGCGACATGACATCATTGGTTGTTACCAGTTGAGAAGGACATCTGACTCCTGCACAACATCCTTGCTTGCTCCTCTCCATCAGCACTGGGGTCACATTAGCTGAGTGTGAGAGAGAAACTGAGGGGGAAGAGAAACAATGGAATACTGGTTAGTACCAGTGTGCAAAAGTGTATTTGCTTTGGAAGAATAAATCACCTCTAACGTTGGGTGTTCTACATGTGCAGATATTGCTGCATTCTGTAAAACTATTAGTTTTGTTTTTTTACATTTTGTAATCGGTGCCTCAAAATTGTTCAGAAATTTAAAGGGTGCCTTGAGATTGTACAGAATTGTAAAGGGTGCCTTGACAGAAAAAAAGTTGAGAAACACTGATCTATTCAGCCCTGGCCTTGATAGTGTGATTAGCAATTCCACAGGTGGCCAGGGTGCCTTTCTGCCTCAATGTAGGAGGTCTTCAAGGAGTCAGAGGAGTTTCCTCATCCTCTTCGGCTGCAGGTTCCTTCACAGCCTGGCTCCTGCTCAGACCATAGTACTCAAAACCAGAGGTCGGCTAACCCCTCTGAACAGCAGTTTGCATGAAGGTTCGCCTTCGGCGGGGCGAGGGAAGGAGGACTTGGGCATGAATGAGCGAGTTTGGGGTGGAGGAACTTGATTGGCCTGCACAGAGTCCTGACCTCAACCCAAAAGAACACCTTTGGGATGAATTAGAGTGGAGACTGCGAGCTAGGCCTTCTCGTCCAACATCAGTGCCTGACCTCACAAATGTGCTTCTGGAAGAATGGTCAAACATTTCCATAGGCACACTACTAAATCTTGTGGACAGCCTTCCCAGAAGAGTTGAAGCTGTTATAGCTGCAAAGGGCAGGCCAATTCTGTTTTGAACCCTACGGACTAAGACTAGGATGCCATTAAAGTTCATGTGCTTGTAAAGGCAGGAATCCCAATATTTTTGGCAATATAATGTAGGTCCTCCTTGTGTGGTTGTATTCATGGCCCTAGGTTCTGTGCTAAAATTCAGGCAGGTCCTTCAGAATTCTTTTAGCAAGCACCAGAGGCTCCCCTGGCTGCAGAGTTGTTGTTTTTCCTTTTTCATCCTCTGGGATTACAGTATACCTATTAACCCTGCCTACTTTTGAATATGCTTGGATATCTTGTTAGCAAGATTGGTTGTTTGCTAAGCAAGCTACTCTTTCCTATTAAAAATTTCCATTCTTCGAAGGAAATTTTCATTACTTGTCTGAGGTTCTCTTGGGGACCTGTTCTTCTAGAGATTGTCCCAGTGTTGACACTATCATGTTACAGGTCTGTGCTTACCTAATCATGTAGGTATATTGTTCCACAACTGTTTTTTGTAGTTGATTCATTACTCTCTTGTTTTTATCCTGGTTATGTTTACCCCCGCTCCCGAACAAGCCCCACTCCCTCGAGCCCTGTCAGTGGTTGTTTCCCCACCCTTTAGTAGGACTGGTTTTGGACATCCCAACTGTATCTGAATTCATATTTTCATCATGGACAATACATTTTATTTTTGTACTTGCTGTAAAATTTCTTTCTTTGAGTCCATTGGAGGACACCGCTCCCATCCCTGTGTTTTTGCTCTTGCCTTCAGTATTTCTTTTCCACAAAACAGTCATGCCCGGTAGAGGAGGGTCACAATGTTCAAACCTCCTGTAGGCTACATTTTGACCCAACTGTATCTGAAAACCTGTGTCCTTTTAATGGACTGCTAGAGAAAAACATACTGTAGCTGCATTAATTTGTGTCCTTTTATATCTTTATATCTGCCTTGAATTCAGCTTTAAATTGGTGAAATATCTTCCAGGTGCATCAAAACATAATGTGTGCAGTGCCTTATGCTGGCTTTGGACTTGTGTGGTCTGTTATAACATCTTATGTTAAGGCAGCCTATTCATTTTAAATGGACCTAATCATGGTCAAAACTGCTCCTGATACTTATTCACAAAGTGTTACAGTGAACAGTGCAGGTGCATTGCCCTAAAGCATTAGGGTGTCATTTGAAATGAATGGCATCCCAGCGCACTAACATAGTTCTTATATGCCCCTGCCCATTTTGAGGCTTTTTTCAATCTATCGAAGTATAACATATTAATACTTCTTAACTTACGATTAAAAGTAAAAAGGGCTTAAATATAGTAAAAGATGATATAAAACAAAATATATTCACATTACATAAGTCTATATTATTGTGACATACATGAAGATCAGATCACATTTTAGGAGTCATTCAGAAAATGCTATGGGGTTCTCAAATCTTTCTCATTTCTCACTTTTCTATTATTTAAAATATTTGCTGTCACATCTTCTATTCAATCACCTATGTTTCTTCATTAGGCATCTTTAAATGTAACTGATGCTCCACCAGCCATTTTAAACGAAGGGTTTATCCAGGATGTTAAAGCCATTGGCATTCCATTTTCTCATGATGTTGAGGATCGGGTTTTCCGAGCTCATGGTAAGCACAATTCTTGTCTGTGTATTGTAAATCACATTTATCATGATTGGTGCCTTCTTTCAAGTTAAAACCTTTCTTCAATTTAAGTCCTTATGCTAATGCAAATTTATTTCTTTTAGTGGAATTCCAGTATTTAACATGTGTTTAACATGTTGATTTTTAAACCATCCAAGGTGGTATAACTTAAATATTGTAATAGGTATAATGTTAACTGTTAACCACCACTATGCAGGAAAACACATAGGGCGGGTGTGAGTAACAAAGGACACAGGAGGGTGCAAACGCTTAGTGCATTAGCATGAGACTTATTAGTACAAAAAACCAAGAGCCAAATCGATACTCACAACAGAAGGTGTCAAGCATTGTATCATATCAAATCGTGATCCAGTGTGGCATCTTCTGAGCTTTGAAGAAGGGGGAATGACCCCTGAAACGTGTCAGCTTTCCAACACTGTAGCGTACCATTCAGGTCACTTGATGCCACATACTGGATCACGATTTGATATGATACAATGCTTGATACGTTAAATTTTGTAAGTATTGATTTGGCTCTTGGTTTCTTGTACAAATAAATCTTATAGTAATGTGCTAGGCATTTGTGCCCTCCATTGTGCTTTATTACAGTTGTATATTGGATTTCGCTATGGGGGGCGGGATCTGGGGGCTTCCAGATTCCGATAAGCTGCTTTCCCCGCAGACCCCCACAACTACCGGCCAGTTTTGTGGGGAAGAGGCCCTTGTCCCCATCAACAAGGTGCTTTTGCCGTGTGGGTTCCTCTCAAAATCCATACCATTCCCGAAGGGCCTGTTATGGACTGGGGGGAATATCCTTCACATTCAGCTGTCAATGGGGAACCTGCTGACAGTTGATGACTCTTTACAGTATCGCATGTTTTCACTGCTAAAATACTGCATGACTTCATAAAATAACTCATGTAGTATTTTTTTTTTTTTTCAGTAAATGCCAGCAAACTTTTTTGAAAAATGCTGTGTGGTATCTTACCACATACTTGGATGTGGTAAGATACTGCTTTGTGAATTGTCCCCAATATATTAGAAAATATCTGTAACATTATTATGAAATATCTGTCCTCTATAATGCACAGTATCCTTTTAGAAGCCTTTTCTATTCATGGGCCACGGGCTGGGGGGGGGGGGGGGGGGGGGGGGTATAGTTTGGCTTGACATCTTTTTCTTTTCTAATGTGTGTGTATAAATGTGTTCGTCTCTAGGTCATTGCCTCCACGAAATGTTTACTCTCAGGGAAGGAATGTTTAAAAGAATTCCAGACATCATTGTGTGGCCACGTAAGTATGCAGGACCTAATTTCTGATCACTTCATTAGGGACCTACTCATTGACGTCTTGCTTATGTTGCAAAACTGTATCAGATGGCTGCTTTTTGAGAGTGTAATTCATTTTAAAATTTGAAAGGACTTTCCACCAAAAAACTGGTGTTTATGGCTTGTGCAGATTGTCTGTTGGTCCCTTATGTGTTATGGGGAAGGGTCTGTGTCTTATGTCTCATTGCTATACATGTGCCAGCAGTGGTACTATTCTAGATTAGAACAGAAACTACTTCAGAGACAACTTGGTTGTGGTGGGTAGCCTCTACTTATGTTTCCCAATGTATACAACGGAGACCTCTGTTCTTAGCATAATGCTATGAGCCAGTTTTAATGAAGACCTCTCTGTCTGCTATCAAGGCTGGGCTGCAGGGAGGCAGTTTTATTCAGTTCCTGTCAATTGCACTTTCCACACATGCACTTTGCTTGCTAGTTATAAATTGATGAGCTGCTTGTAGTTTTCTCGTTTTGCTGTGTTGGCACAGAATTGGATGGGAAATTATCAGTCAAGTAGTGACTACATCCTATCAGATGCAGTCACTGTTGGGGTGTTCAAACAGCCTTGGGTGCTGTGGCTGTCTGCATGCAATAGCCGGCAGTGCAGTCTCCTCCATCCACACTGTTTAGGATAGATATAGGAATTTGTTAATGAATGATAAAAATTGGAGTGTATATGGCTAGCTGGTGTCAGTAGACAGCTCAAATTTCAGCCAGTTAAGCAGAAATTTGGTCTGTGGTTGGCCCTGCCAGGACTAAGCCAGATGGAAAATTTATCAGTTGAACAGTGACTGCAGTTTAGCAGAAGCAGTCACTGTTGTGGCAGAGCCTCTGTATTTAGCACCTGTGGCTATTGAATACAATAGATGACAGCGGCTAGTCTTATAGATTGGGAGTAGGACCACATTTTCAGTGAATGTATTTGTGAGGCTTCTATGTATATTTGCATGTTCATGCAGCAAAGATCACGGTTTTTATTGTTCTGATGGAAGCAGGTTTCATTTAGGTTCCTTTAATGGTCTAGCCAGGGGAGCTCGTGGTGTCTGATCCACTAGTAGTTAACTACTCCTCCCACATGCACCTCCTTTTTTCAGTATAAATGGAAATAATACATTTCGTTATTGCTGAACATTATCTAATACAAACAGTACAGATATTTGCTGTTTATAATATTTGTTGGTGATTATTTATTACTTCTACACAAAGGTTCAATGCACCTTAGCATTTTTTATAAGCTTAAAAAAAACTCTGGATAAAAAAAAAAACGCTGATAATAGCATTTTATTTTTTTTGCTGGCTTGTAGTAGCATTTTAGAAGTGTATAGGAGCGTTCGTGTTTTTACAGCACATGAAGGAAAGAGAAAAAAAAACACGCTTGAAAAAAGCTTTTAGGAGCATTTTAGGAGCTTTCAGCATTTTTTTTCTGCTGGGAAAAACGCTTCCAAAAACTCTACAAAAGCAATTTATTTTTCTGCTCCTGAAAAACTCTTCTAGCATAAAATAGTGTGTGTAGACACATGAGGGTTGATTTACTAAAGGCAAATAGGCTGTGCACTGAAAGTGCAGTTGCTTTCGATCTGAGGGGAACATACAAGGAAAAATTTTAAAATTTTAAAAATTTAATTTTTGCTTGCACATGATTGGATGAAATTAACAGAGCGTCCCCTCGGATTTAAAGCAGCTGCACTTGCAGTGCACAATATATCTACCTTTAGTAAATCAACCCCATAGGATAACACTAATAGCTTCTAGGAGCTTAAAAATGCTTGGGTGAATGGAGCCTAAAACTATATGTAACAAATGTATGGCCAGATAAACAATCAATTTAGAGTTTAAAAACTCCTGTTCCTTTATTACTCAACACAAAAGCTTACAGGTGAAACTCGAAAAATTAGAATATCGTGCAAAAGTTCATTTATTTCAGTAATGCAACTTAAAAGGTGAAACTAATATATGAGACTCATTACATGCAAAGCAAGATAGTTCAAGCCGTGGTTTGTCATAATTGTGATGATTATGGTTTACAGCTCATGAAAACCGAAAATGAGAATATTGTGAAAAGGTACAATATTCTAGGCTCAAAGTGTCCCACTCTAATCAGCTAATTAAGCCAGAACACCTGCAAAGGGTTCCTGAGCCTTTAAATGGTCTCTCAGTCTGGTTCAGTAGGAATCACAATCATGGGAAAGACTGCTGACCTGACAGTTGTGCAGAAAACTATCATTGAAACCCTCCATAAGGAGTGAAAGCCTCAAAAGGTAATAGCAAAAGAAGTTGGATGTTCCCAAAGTGCTGTATCAAAGGACATTAATAGAAAGTTATGTGGAAGGGAAAAGTGTAGAAGAAAAAGGTGCACAAGCAGCAGGGATGACCGCAGCCTGGAGAGGATTGTCAGGAAAAGGCCATTCAAAAGTGTTGGGGACTTTCACAAGCAGTGGACTGAGACTGGAGTCAGTGCATCAAGAGCCACCACACACACAGAGAGATCCTGGACATGGGCTTCAAATGTCATATTCCTCTTGTCAAGCTGCTCCTCAACAACAAACAATGTCAGAAGCGTATTACCTGGGCTAAAGAAAAACAGACCTGGTCTGTTGCTCAGTGGTCCAAAGTCCTCTTTTCTGATGAGAGCAACTTTTGCATCTCATTTGGAAACCAAGAACTCAGATTATGAAGAAAGAATGGAGAGGCACGCACTGCAAGATGCTTGAAGTCCAGTGTGAAGTTTCCACAGTCTGTGTTGATTTGGGGAGCCATGTCATCTACTGGTGTTGGTCCACTGTGCTTCATTAAGTCCAGGGTTAACACAGCCGTCTACCAGGAGATTTTGGAGCACTTCATGCTTCTCTCCGCAGACAAGCTTTATGGTGATGCTGACTTCATTTGCCAGCAGGACTTGGCACCTGTCCACACTGCCAAAAGCACCAAAACCTGGTTCAATGACCGTGGGATTACTGTGCTTGATTGGCCAGCAAACTCGCCTGACCTGAACCCCATAGAGAATCTATGGGGCATTGCCAAGAGAAAGATGAGAGACATGAGACCGAACAATGCAGAAGAGCTGAAGGCCACTATTGAAGCATCCTGGTCTTCCATAACACCTCAGCAGTGCCACAGGCTGATAGCTTCCATGCCACGCCACATTAAGGCAGTAATTGCTGCAAAAGAGGCCCAAACCAAGTACTGAGTACATATGCATGCTTATACTTTTCAGAGGTCCAATATTGTTCTATGTACAATCCTTGTTTTATGGATTTCATGTAATATTCTAATTTTCTGAGATTGTGGATTTGGGGTTTTCATGAGCTGTGAGCCATAATCATCACAATTATGACAAATTACAGCTTGAACTATCTTGCTTTGCATGTACTGAGTCTATCTCATATATTTCACCTTTTAAGTTGCTTTACTGAAATAAATGAACTTTTGCACGATATTCTAATTCTTCGAGTTTCACCTGTATGTAAGTGGCAAATCTATGGCCAGATAAAGAGGAAAATGAGTTGGTAAATGTTTACAGCCTGTTCATACCTGTCTGTTGTGATGCACTAAATAAAACACATGCATTTTACTGCTTGATAATGCTGTTCAAACCAAAATATTTCCATATATTCCTTTGTAGCTGATTCACTTCTATTCTCCACAGTTCAGCACATTTTTTAAAACATGTAGGATTATTGTGCATTTACCCATGTTAAGTATGCCAATTGAAAAGGATGTTCAATGTAATAAAAATAAATTCTGGTTTTGAATGTCTCTCCTTCACTTTGCATAATGAGCGACCCAAAAAAGGGTGAATACAACTAAAATGTGTATAAACGCATAATAAGTGTGCATATTGGTTCACATGCATATGTCTAACAAGGCCCTTATTGCTAATCAGATGTGTGCGTGTAATGGAGCTGGACCAATAGAAGTGAGACTTGGTTATAAGGGATATACAATGGAGTGCATCTTCCTTCAAAAGAACTGATATGTAATGAAGGTATAGGATTGGTGGACCTTGTTCTGGTGCTAGGCCAGGGGCATCAAACAACTTTTCATCATGGGCAGCATCAGCATTATTGTTGCTCTCAAATTGCTGGTTGCATCTGTAAGACTAGATGTCCAGAGCACGCCACCTCCCCTTACATCGGATGTCAAGAGTCCCCCACTCTCCCTTACAGTGCACCCCCCCCTTAACTTGTGCTGCTGCTGGGAAGAAGCTGAGAAGCAGAACGTGCAGGGTCTGGAGGAGGGCTGGAGTCGGCTGCCAGAGTCTGCTGAATGCTGAGACCAGGGGAGGCAGAGACAAGGTGGTGCTGCAGCTGCAGAGAGAGGCGCAGGATCTGTAGGAGGAGTTCTGTTCTCTCTGCTGCCGACTGATGAGACAAAGATGGGGCCGCAGCTGCAGGGGAGGTGCGAGGGTCACATGAAATGGCCTGGTGGGCCTTGTTTTTGACTTGTGTCCTAAGTTGCTACCTGTCTTATTGCAACAAAAGTAGTGCTCAGTAGATGATCAACTCTGGGGTGGGTATTGAAGAGCACCTAGTTAAGGTTCATATCACATAGTGGTCTTTTTAAAATATTTATTGGTTAAGAGTATCAAATACAGCCAACCTGTTTCAGGGGAAAGGCCTCCCCTTTCTTCATGGCTAATGTGCAAAGGAACAAAAAAAAAATGAAACCTACCATAAATATCGAATACAAACAATATAGTAATATATAACAAAGTAATATGTCAATAAAATAAATTTTGTAATTTATTTATTGCAATAACACGGACATGGTAATGCTTAGTTTGTGTCAGTCTACAATTACAGGTTCAGTAATAAAGTGATTTGTAAAGAACAGTGGTCATAGACATTACGTGAGACAGTCATAAACCTGTGATTGCCAGAATATCTCCTGGAGCACAACCTGAACACTACAGTCTGTGTAATTGAAAGTGAGCACACCGAAGGTTATGAAAGAGTGTGCTGCTGG